CCCGGGCCGGCCCCGTCGTGACCCTCTGCAATATTCTTCAGTGCTTGTATCCCACCTTGTTTTAATCCTGCACAGAATGCTGTGTGGTTTTATGGTCAATACTCCCTGTTATTTAACAACAGATTCACCCGTGTCTGTGTTTGCCGGTGCTTCCTGCATCTTACCTCTGGCTTCATTTTCTGATTACTGATTTGTAGCCCCTAGTGTTTCTTCCACGAGTGGCTGTGAGGGGTAAGCTCTACTCAGTGTTTGAAAAGGTCTGTTCAGCTTCCACTCTTTTTTTTGAGACGGAGTCTCGCTCTGCTGCCAGGCTGGAGTACAGTGGTGTGATCTCACCTAACTGCAGCCTCCGTCTCCCGGGTTTAAGCAGCTCTCTGACTCAGCCTCTGTAGCTGGGATTATAGGCTCCTGCCACTATGCCTGGCTAATTGTTATATTTTTAGTAGAGACGGGGTTTCACCGTCTTGGCCAGGCTGGTCTTGAACTCCTGACCTCGTGATCCACCCTCCGAGGCCTCCCAAAGTGCTGGGATTATAGGCATGAGCCATGTGTGGAGACTACAATGACTTCTGGAAACTTCATGGATCAAAAACAAGACCATGATCATGCCTCTCAAAACAATTCCAGCCGGGTGTGGTGGCCGACACCTGTCATCCCAGCACTTTGGGAGGCCAAGGCAGGTGGATCACTTGAGGTCAGGAGTTCAAGACCAGCCTGGCCAACATGGTGAAACCCCGTTTCTACCAAAAATACAAAAATTAGCCGGGCGTGGTGGCCCACACATGTAATACTCGGGAGGCTGAGGCATGAAAATTGCTTGAACCCAGAAGGTAGAGGTTGCAGTGAGCCGAGATCACACCACTGCACCCCAGCCTGGGTGACAGAGCGAGACTCTGCCTCAAAAACAAAAAAACAAAAAAACTGAACTCCCAAAACGCAGCTCGTGCAGCCCGAGGAGAAAGTGCCTTAAACATGGGCTAGAATACAAAAGAGACAGGAACTAGTGAATAAGCAAGGAGAAACCCAAAAAGGCAGAAGGTGGGAATTATAAAAAAAGAAAAAAGTTAACAAAGGGAAGTAAAGGGCCAAAGATGGCCAAAGACAGCTGTGAGGAGACAGAAGGGAAAATTCTCCTGTGGCAGGGCTGGCGGGGCCATGAGGACCCTGTGGGAAACGTCCCTAGGGCTCTGGGAAAGGGAGCTACCAGCCAGGAGGAGAGCCCTCACTGGAACCCGGCCTGCTGGCACCTGCGCTCGGACTTCCAGCCTCCAGAGCGGAGGGAGTAAATACCGTCTGTGACATTTTGCTATGGCAGCCGGAGCAGACTAAGATACTCCTGTATTGTTCACGAATTCTCTCTTCAGCTGTTAACGTGTTCCTTCTCTCTGCTGAGTACTTACTTCCTTTTTTGGGTTAAAATGAGCCTATTTTATGCCAGTCTGTTTTCATTAATTCCATTTCTTTTTAATCACTTTAATCATTAATCATGCATTTTAAGCATATTTATTTTATGATCCTATGCTAAAGAATTCAGCCTTGCCCACAGAGAGGTCTGGCATTTGTTCTTGATTGCTTGGAGGTAAAATCCAAAGCCTTGAAATGTCTTGCCTGGTAGGAGTGTCTGTTCACCTGGGGACCTTGGTCACTGGATAGTTTAATGGGGTGATTTAGAGTGGGGGCTTTGGGTCAGCTTGACCCCTAGAGGGTTCGAGGTGGAGGTTGGCCCATGGGCCATCAGCCATGTCTGCGTGAGCCCCAGGAAAGGCTGGCACCCAGGCCCGGTGAGCTTCCTGGTTGGCAGCATCATCACGGGGGTCTGTGGAAGTTAGTGCTGGCTGTGACCCCCCAGGGAGGGGACAACTGGAAGCTGTGGGGTTGGAACCTTCCTGGACCACCCCATGTGCCTCCTGACCTTGGCTGGTTTTCATCTGCAGCTGTACGAAATGATAGTCTTGAGTCTAAGTGCTTGCTGGGGCACCTGCCAGTCCTTGTGGGGAGCTGTGGAGTCTGAGGTGGTCTCGGACCCCTCCGCCTGTAGTTGGTGGCGGGAGTGAGGGTCTTCGTGGACTGTGCTGGGCTCCTGAAGGGTCTGTCACGCGGGCGGCCCTGTGCTGCTGCTGTGTCAGCCTGTCCTGCTGGTGGAGCCTCCTGCTGCTGTGTGTCGGGCCCGGAGCTCGATTCAGTGGGAAGTTTCCTGTAGGTCTCTGTGCCCCCGTGTGTCACGGCGCCTCCAGCGTGCTCTGGGGGAGCCTCCTGCTGCTGTGTGTCGGGCCCGGAGCTCGATTCAGTGGGAAGTGTTTCCTGTAGGTCTCTGTGCTCCTGTGTGCCACAGGCCTCCAGCGTGGCTCTTCGTGGGTTCGCGTTTGACTCCTGCAGATGCCCAGCGTTTCCTGCTATTTCTTGCTTGTGGTTCCCTGCCTTGCTGGCCGTGCACTCTGGGCCGTACACCCTGTGCTCCATGGATGACTGTGGAAGGTGGGGACAGGAACGCGCTCCCGGCGTCCACACGCTGTGTGCTCTCCTGCCTACTCTCCCCACACTGAATTCAGGCTTGTCCATGTGACACCAGTGAAGAGGACACTGAGCTAACAGAGGCCTGGGAACTGCCCTCGTGGGGGACTTGCCCCCCTGCACACTGCCGTTGCCCTGTGAGGGAGCCTGCCCTGGCCCCTTCAGGATGGGGGAGGAGAGGGGAGAAGGGCCCGCCCCAGGCCAGCCCCCAGCAGACGCAGCCCCCGAGTGCACCAGGCAACACCAGCAGAAGACCCCCCAGGCCACCCCCGGAAACCACTGCGTTTTGTGGTGGCTGCTTCTGCAGCACTAGGTGACGGGTTCAGTGGGGTTCCCTTCCTCTTACCCGAGCCCTGGACTCAGCTCAAGTTTTTCTACCCCCGTTAATGGCTATGGGGGGGTCTCAGCCCCGCTTCTGTGTCTTTCTGGGGTCCCCTGCGCCTGTAGCAGGGACTGGAGCCCTGGTGAGCTCCTGGACCATAGCTTGCCTGTGTGCACGTATTTCTCTGGGTTTCTGGCAGGTGGAGAGCCCCTGTCTTTGATCTCAACTAGGTATTTTAACAAGGTGACTTTTGGCAGGGTGTGGTGGCTCATGCCTGTAATCTCAGCACTGTGGGAGGTGGAGGTGGGTGGATCATCTGAGGTCAGGAGTTCACGACCAGCCTGGCTAATGTGGTGAAACCCCATCTCTATTAAAAATACAAAAATTAGCTGGGTATGGAGGCGCATGCCTGGAATCCCAGCTCCTCAGGAGGCCGAGGCAGGAGAATCACTTGAACCCAGGAGGTGGACATTGCCATGAGCCAGGATTGTGCCACTGCGCTCCACCTCGGGCAACAGAACAAGACTGTTTCCAAAAAAAAAAACAAGGCGACTTTTGCTCAGCATTTCTGTGGGCTGTAGGCAGAGGGGTCTGCCCCAGTTTAGCCGACCACCCACCATAAGCCCTCCTGGCCAAGGGGTCTGTAATCCCACCTCACCAGTTTGCAAGCTCATACACTTGTTACTGTAGTCTTCCAAATGGTTTATAAGTGAAACAGCAATATCATGTTGTGCGTGTGTGTGTGTGTTTTGGGACAGTCTGGCCCTGTCACCCAGGCTAGAAGGCAGTGGCGCCATCTTGGCTCACTGCAGCCTCTGCCTCCCAGGTTCAAGCGATTTTTGTGCCTCAGCTTCCTGAGTAGTAGCTGGGATTACGGGCGTGTGCCACTATGCCTGGCTAATTTTTTTGTATTTTTTGTAGAGGTGGGCTTTCACTGTGTTGGTCAGGCTGGTCTCAAACTCCTGGCCTCAAGTGATCACCCACCTCAGCCTCTTAAAGTGTTAGAATTACAGGCGTCAGCCCCCGTGCCTGCCTCAGCTAGTATTTTGTTTTTTGAGATGGAGTCTCATTCCATTGCCCAGGCTGGAGTGCGGTGGCACAATCTCTGCTCTCTGCAACCTCTGCCTCCAGGGTTCAAGCGATTCTCCTGTTTCAGCCTCTCAAGCAGCTAGGACTACAGGTGTACACCACCACGCCCAGCTAATTTTTGTATTTTTAGTAGAGATGAGGTTTTGCCATGTTGGCCAGGCTGGTCTTGAACTCCTGACGTCAGGCGATCCGCCCGCCTCGGCCTCCCAAAGTGCTGGGATTACAGGCGTGAGCCACTGTGTCTGGCCTCATATAGTTTTTTAAACAGACATACATATATGTGTATAATGGTATGATTAGGACCCGAAGGAAAAATAGCAAACCCTTAATCGCGATTACCTCTGAGGAGGAGGGACATGAGATTACAAGTGGTATCAAAGTGACTTCAGCCTCCTTTATAGGGCTGTTTGTAGAATTTTCATGTCCTGTCATGTAATTTGTTTGGGATAAATCTATACGTAGATGAAACGTGGAGGCCGTTAAGCCAGTTGTTGATGGTGGGCGACTGTAAGTGGTGGGGAGGTGGTTGACCCCCTGTATTTTCTCTGTCCTTTTCGGTATTCTGAACAGTGACAGAGTCAGGTTTTTTTTTTTTTTTTGAGAAGGAGTCTCACTCTGTCGCCCAGGCTGGAGTGAAGTGGCATAATCTTGGCTCACTGCAACCTCTGCCTCCCAGGTTCAAGCGATCCTCCTGCCTCAGCCTCCCAAGTGGCTGGGATTACAGGCACCCACCACCATGGCCAGCTAATTTTTGTATTTTTAGTAGAGACGGGGTTTTACTGTGTTGGCAAAGTTGGTCTCAAACTCCTGACTTCAAGATCCATCTGCCTTGGCCTCTCAAAGTGCTGGGATTATAGGCATGAGCCACTGCACCTGGCCACAGGTCAAGTTTCAAAAAGTAAGATGAGCAAGGCTGCCCGCATCAGGCTCTGCTAGGCAGACCTGGCCAGCAGGCTCGGTTGGTTTCTGTGATGGCACTTAGGGGAGCGGGTGAAGAGCTGTGACTGCAATGCGCCGTGTGACCTGTTGCCTGTGGCGCGTGACCACAGAAAATGATGCCTCTAACCTTACTTTGCAGCATAGAAAAAAAACGTGCCATCATTCCTACACTGGTGGAAGCAATTAAGGGACAAGACGGAAGAGAAGTGGACTGGGAGTATTTTTATGGCCTGCTTTTTACCTCAGAGAACCTAAAATTAGTGCACGTTGTCTGCCATAAGAAAACCACCCACAAGCTCAGCTGTGACCCGAACAGAATCTACAAACGCCAGACAAGGCTGAAGAGGAAGCAGCCCGTGCGAAAGCGCCAGTGACGTGCGCACCGTGCCCTCGTGTTTGTTGAGGCCTGACGTGGGCATAGTTTTAACAGGTGCCTTTTTTTTTTTTTTTTTGGTCACTCCAATAGCTCCTGGAAAAATCCTTAAAAAACACTTCCTGTAAATCTGATTTCAGTACCTTTCTGAATCTTTTTTTTTTTTTTTGGAGATGGAATTTCAATTTTGTTGATCAGGCTGTAGTGGCGTGAACTTGGCTCTCTGCAACCTCTGCCTCTCAGGTTCAAGTGATTTTCCTGCCTCAACCTCCCAAGTAGCCAGGATTACAGGCAAGTGCCACCACGCCTGGCTAATTTTTGTATTTTTAATAGAGACTGGGTTTCACCATGTTGGTCAGGCTGGTCTCCAACTCCTGACCTCAGGTGGTCCACCCACCTCAGCCTCCCAAAGTGTTGGGATTACAGGCGTGAGCCACCGCGCCTGGCCTGAATCATTTTTTATACCTTCTGACAGCCCAACTTCTAGAGGAAAGCTTTGGGGTCCTCACTGGATGTCTGTGAGTTCCTGGTTGTACTGGTTAGTAGGGATGAGAACAGTCTCTGCACTGAGGAATTCTTCTGTTCTCTGGTTTTCCGGTATTTGGTTTGCCCCTGTACTGTGGTCACCATACTAAAACTGCGTCCTGGCTGAAGGTGGCTGCTCTTGCCTGGAGGGACTAGCTGATTACGTGTCAGCTCTCTGCTGAGTCTCCATTTCCATGGCCAGTGGGCAGCTCCATCCTTCCTGACTCTTCCAAATGCCCAAAAGAGAGCATCTGAGGGTAAGATGTCTGGGGGTAAGCATTCGAGGGTAAGATGTATGTTCTTCTCTATAAAGAATATACAAGGACATTCACCACTGAATTTTTTGTTTGTTTTTTTTTTGGTCTTTTTGAGACAGGGTCTCACTCTGTCGCCCAGGCTGGAGTGCAGTGGCATGGTCTTGGCTCACTGCAACCTCTGCCTCCTGGGTTCAAGCGATTCTCCTGCCTCAGCTTCCTAAGTAGCTGGGATAACAGGTGCCCACCACCACAGCTGGCTAATTTTTGTATTTTTAGTAGAGGTGGGATTTCGCCATGTTGGCCAGGCTGGTCTTGAAGTCCTGGACGTCTGTGAGTTCAGGTCATCTGCCCACCTTGGCCTCCCAAAGTGCTGGGATTCCAGGTGTGAGCCACCACGCGCGGCATGCTGAATTGTGCCAAAAAGTAGGAAACTTCTCAATGTATGAATAGGGGCATTCACTATTCTGTCGAACCACGTGAAACTGCCATTTTTCTAGGCCAAAAATGGTCAGCTATCATTAAGTTCATGATTTACCCTGATACATTTCCATAGTGCAAAACTATGTCGCAGTTTCAAGCTTTTATGAGGCAAGTGTTTCTGTGTAGAAACTGGAAGCTTCTCAGTGCACCCGCAGCTCCGCAGCTGAACTCTGCTCTGTTTATCAGAGTTACCGTCATCTCAGATGATACCGAGCTCATGTCAGCAGTGCGGGCGGCAGGCGGCGGGCCACAGACAGTCTGGAAGGAAACACACCGACCTCAACAGCAGTAATCCTGGGGGACACGGGGGTGGGACCAGATGACCGAGGGCTCATTTTCTAAATCATGTATTTTATGATACTTGAACTTTTTGAAATGGGCATTTATTTTATAACATGTTAAAATGTACTTTGAAAAAAAAGTCATTTTATAATATTTGAATTTTTACATCTGTTGTATAATCAGGAAAAGCAATAAAGATTTTTCAAAAATAGACCTATCAAAAAAGTTTGGGGTCACTGAGAATGCTGGAAATAAGGATAAAAATTGGGAGTCCATGTTTTACAGATTGACTTCAGTTGTCACAGCTGTCACAACTCACTGCAGCCCTGACCTCTCCAGACTCAGGTGATCCTCCCACCTCAGCCCCGAATAGCTGAAACTACAGGTGCACATCAGTATGCCTGGCTAATTACATTTTCTTCACAGAGCTGAAGCAATACCTTAGAATGAGGGAGTCCTTTGTGGGGAATTTCTCGAAGGCCCATCTACCATACGTGGTGTTTATCCGCTCTGATCAGGGAAGGACAAACAGTGGGAGAGTTGGGGCCTGGCAGCCAAGGGGCCTGGTTCCTCTTCTCAGTCTGAAGAACTCTCTGGAGCCAGCAGATCCCACCTGTGCAGTAAGGAGCCTGGCCCGACAGCGATGAGGCCTTCCTAGCTCCGTCACTGCAGCCTCAGGAAACGAGCTGTTGTGCTTTCCAGCCACAGACGTGGGCCTTTGGCAGAGACATTCTTTCGTTGCCTGCTTGTTTCTTGAGACAGGGTCTCACTCTGCCACCCAGGCTGGAGTACAGTGGTGTGATCTCAGCTCACTGCAGCCTTGAACTCCTGGGTTGAAGTGATTCTCCTGCCTCAGCGTCCGGAGTAACTGAGACTCCAGGAGTGTGCCACCATGCCTAGCTAATTTATTTGTATGTTTGCAGAGATGGTCTCGCTGTGTCGTCCAGGTTGGTCTTGAACTCCTGGGCTCGAGAGATCCACCCTGGCCTTCTGAAGTGCTGGGATTACAGGCATGAGCCCCTGCACCCGGCCCAAGACACATTCTTGAGGGAAGTCCTTCCTTCTCAACAGTCCAGTGCCACCTTGCCCTGGACATGCAGCAGTTCTGTCTATGAGCAGGGCCACAGCTAGGGTAAAATGCTATCAAATAGCATCGCATGCTACAGAGAAATCTTTCACAAAAGGAAGAGTCAATCAGTGTGGCAAACTTTATTGTCTTATTTTAAGAAACTGCCACGGGCACAGTGTCTCGTGGCTGTAATCTTAGCACTTTTGGGAGTTGGAGACCAGCCTGGGCAACCTGGTGACACCCTGTCTCAACAAAAAAGACAAAAAGTAGCCAGGCATGGTGATGTGCACCTGTAGTCCCAGCTACTCAGGAGGCTGAGGTGGGAGGATCACCTGAGTCTGGGGCGGTCGAGGCTGCGGTGAGCTGTGATACTGCCACTGCACTCCAGCCTGGCTGACAGAGTGAGAGCCTGTCAAAACAAAAGCAAAACCTTGCCACAGCCAGCCAGCCCTCAGCAATAACCACCCTGATTACTCAGCAGCCGTCGATGTGGAGGCAATACCCCCAGCAGCAAAACGACGACAGCTTGCCAAGGGCTCAGGTGATCATTAGCATTTCGTAGCAATAAGTGATTTTTAAATTAAGGAACATACATTTTTTAGACGTAACGCTATGCACACGATAGACAAGAGAATCGTGGAAGCATAAGCTTCGTATGCTCAGGGAACCAACACACGTGTGACCTGCTTTAACGTGCTGCTTGCTTGATCGCTGTGGTCTGGAGCAGAACTGCAAGGCCTCCGAGGCCCCCTGCTCCTCACCCTGGCCTGCCTTCACAGCATGGCCGGGCTCTGTCCTCATTACCCCACCCGTTTGCTCACCACTTGTCTGCCGTGGTGGCCTTTTCCTAAGCCCCTAACGTGCCTCATCGTCCCCCAGCTCTTGGAATGGTTCCTGAGAGCCCCTGCTCCAGCCCCTGCCACCCACTCCGTCTTGGCAGGCCAGCGCTCACGCAGCCCCTAGCGCAAGCCGACTGTGGCTCTGCCTACAGCGTGCTTCCTCCTGGGCTGCAGGAAGACTGTGTCTTGTGGTCGTATTCGCTGCAGCTTTGCTGTCTGGATGGAGCCTGGCATGGGGCTGGTTGAAGCCGTCTGCAGTCCCTACTGGGCTCCTCCCTTGGCAGCTTCTTACGGAGGCCGGGACCTCACAGCACGCCACCCTCAGGCCCACAGATCAAACGAATCCACACTCTCAGCTCATAGAATTGTTCTCCCTCTCTCGTGGGATGGACGGAGCAGACACTCTTGTGCAGATGTCCGGCACCACCTTCTAACCTGAGAGTCTGGGTAACATAACTCCTGACAGGTGATAGCTCTTCGTAGCAATCACTAACACCTCGCCCAGCCAAGGGCCCGGAAGCAAGAAAAAACTATGACCAAAACACCACATCACAGCAAAGAGCCTCGAATGCTGCATGCACAGCTCAACCAGCCCGAGTTTCCAGTGGCCCACCTGCTGCAGAAATGAAGCCTCAGGTCAGGAAGGGCGAGGAGGGCCACGGATGAGGCCTGACAGCAGCAGAGGGGGGCAGAAGGCCTGGGGGACACAAAGCCTCTGAGGCTTAGTCGTGGGCAGCGGGGAAGTACAGCAGTTTTGCAGGAATATGTGTCAGGAAGCAAGGAATACGTACAGGATGGGTTTACTAATGTTCTAATACTCTTTTATACTGCTCAAGCAGCCCCGGTATGTAATTTTGCAACATTATAAATTGTTTCTAAAAATGCACATTTGTAAAAAGCTGGCCTCCTAGCCTACACTGGGTAAGGCACAGAGCGTACCACCGGAGTGCTCACAATTAGAGTACTCGTAGCATATATATATATATATATATATTTTTTTTTTTGAGGCTGAGTCTCGCTCTGTTGCCCAGGCTGGAGTGCAGTGGCACGATCTCAGCTCATTGTAACCTCCACCTCCTGGGTTCAAGCTATTCTTGTGCCTCACCCTCCTGAGTAGCTGGGATTACAGGTGCCTGCTGCCATACCCGGCTTATCTTTGTATTTTTCGTAGAGATGAGGTTTCACTACGTTGGCCAGGCTGGTCTCAAACTCCTGACCTCAAGTGATCCACCCGCCTTGGCGTTCCAAAATGTCCGGATTCCAGGTGTGCGCCACCGCGCCCAGCCTCGTGGCCTGTACTGTAACACGCTTTGTGCAGTGTCGTCCCCAGGATTCCAGGTGTGCGCCACCGCGCCCAGCCTCGTGGCCTGTACTGTAACACGCTTTGTGCAGTGTCGTCCCCAGGGCTTAGCCTGCAGTTGTTGAGCCAGCCCTAAAGCCATCCGAGGCCGTGCTGTGTTCTGCCGTGGTGCTGCGTCTGTGAGCACACACGGCCCGACCTCTGCTCCTGGCCCCTGTGCCTATCCCTAAATGTCCCCCTTCCCTGCCCTGTCCCCAAAGGCTCCACAAGACTCACGACATGCCCTGTTGACTGTGCCTTCTTTACAGGGGACACCTGTGTGTATTTATCTATTTATACAGAGAGGGTCTTGCTCCGTCACCTTGCTCTCTGTGGAGTGCAGTGTGCAATCACAGCTCACTGCAGCCTCCAACTCCTGAACTCAAGTGATCTCATCCCAGCCTTGCGAGTAGCTGGGACCACAGGCATGTCACCACATCTAGGTTATTTTTGTAGAGACAGGGTCGGTCTCAATGTATTGCCCAGACTGGTCTGGAAATCATGGCCTCAAGCCATCCTCCCTAGTCAGCCTCCTAAAGTGCTGTGATTACAGGTGTAAGCCACTGTGCCCAGCCTTTTTTTTTTTTTTTTTTTTTTTTGAGACAGCGTCTCACTCTGTCACCCAGGCTGGAGTGCAGAGGCACAATCTGGGCTCAATGCAACTTCTGCCTCCCAGGTTCAAGCAATTCTCCTGCCTCAGCCTCTGGAGCAGCTGGGATTACATGCGCCCACCACCACATCTGGCTAATTTTTGTATTTTTACTAGAGATGGGGTTTCACCATGTTGGCCAGGCTGGTCTTGAATCCTGACCTCAGGCGATCTGCCCACCTTGGCCTCCCAATGTGCTGGGGTTACAGGTGTGAGCCACTGCGCCCAGCTAGGACTGATGCTTAAAAGTCCATACGTAGATTAGGAAAGTGTTTCCACCTGGGAGTGCTTGTTAGTGCAGGTTAACAACTGTGAGTGAGCAGGGGTGGCCCCAGGACACACACGCTTTCCACTGTGCCTGCGGCGTCTCCTCTGCAGGTGTATCATCATTCGGGACAGTGCGCCTCACTGAAGTCTGCTTAGAGGATGGCAGAACTCTCATCACCACTGAGACAGGTCCCGCTACTCATGCAGCAGTCTAAAGTTGTACATTATTTACTTATTGTTTTGAGGCAGAGTCTAGCTCTGTTGCCCAGGCTGGAGTGCAGTGGTGTGATCTTGGCTCACTGCAACCTCCACCTCCTGAGTTCAAGTGATTCTCCTGCCTTAGCCTACCAGGTAGCTGGGATTACAGGCACCCACTACCACGCCTGGCTAATTTTTGTATTTTCAGTAGAGATGGGGTTTCACCATGTTGGCCAGTCTGGTCTCGAATTCTGACCTCAAGTGATCTAACTACCTTGGCCTCCAAAGCGTTGGGATTACTGGTATGAGCCACTGTGCCTGGTAAAAGTTGTAAATTATTTTCCCTGTCATAAAATGACTATACAAGCCATATTTTCAAATGATAGTATGTTTTTTTTTTTTTTTATTTTTTTTTTGAGACGGAGTTTCACTCTTGTTACCCAGGCTGGAGTGCAATGGCGCGATCTCGGCTCACCGCAACCTCCGCCTCCTGGGTTCAGGCAATTCTCCTGCCTCAGCCTCCTGAGTAGCTGGGATTACAGGCACGCACCACCATGCCCAGCTAATTTTTTGTAGTTTTAGTAGAGACGGGGTTTCACCATGTTGACCAGGACGGTCTCGATCTCTTGACCTCGGGATCCACCCGCCTCGGCCTCCCAAAGTGCTGGGATTACAGGCTTGAGCCACCGCGCCCGGCGTGATAGTATGTTGATCAATAAATCACGAAGTGATTCAGAGCAGGTGAAGGTCACAGCTCATGAGAAAAGGATCACATTGGAAGTAGGGAACGACACCTTCAGGGAGGGCAGTATTTGAACAACAGAGTGGAAACACTTCTTATGGGCCACTTCAACTGTATTTTGCTTCCAATTTGTGTCATGGAAAATCCTTCCTGTGCTTCACAGGACATTTTAACGGGGTTATATCTAGTTGCCTTTTCTTTTGAGATGGAGTCTTGCTCTGTCGCCAGGCTGGAGTGCGGTGGCTTGATCTCGGCTCACTGCAGCTTCCGCCTCCCGGGTTAAAGCGATTCTCTTGCCTCAGCCTCCTGAGTAGCTGGGATTACAGGCACGTGCCACCACACCCAGCTAATTTTTGTACTTTTAGTAGAAACGAGGTTTCACCATGTTGGCCAGGATGGTCTCGATCTCTTGACCTCATGATCACCCTGCCTCGGCCCCCCAAAGTGATTGGATTACAGGCGTGAGCCACCGCGCCCGGCCTCTGGCTGCTCTTATAATTAAAGCAGAAACGTGTAATAGCTCAAAACCAGCATGACTCTTGCTCATTCATGAAAAGGCCATAGTCTTCCCACATGGCAGGCAGCTTCTTGTCCTTGGTCACCCAGGGACCCCAGCTCGCCCCTGGTTGGTCCACTTGGCTTCTATGTGCAGTTGGTAGCAGGAAGAGACTATGAACAAAGCACTCCCAATGGCTTCTCTCCACTGCCCCAGGCAAGAACACACAGCTAGGTGCTCCTTAACACTGGTGGGGCTGGGGAACGCAGTCCTTGTGAGGCAGCTGCAGACGGCCCTCTCTATGGTCTGGAGGAGAGCATGGCCCGTGCCAGGCTGGCCTTCCCCACCGCACAGGAGAGGAAAGCCCGACATTTCTGTGGCAGACACGTGGGAGCAGAAGTCCACTCGAGAGGAGGGAAGGGGCCCTTTCCCAAGGGCCTCAGTGGTTAACGGGTCTAAAAGATGGACCCATGTCAGGCACAGTGGCTCACATCTATAATCCCAGCATTTTTGGAGGCTGAGGTGGGCAGATCACCTGAGATCAGGAGTTCGAGACCAGCCTGGCCAACATGGGGAAACCCTGTCTCTACTAAAAATACAAAAAAATTAGCCAGGCATGGTGGTGCATGCCTGTAATCCTAGCTACTTGGGAGGCTGAGGTCAGAGAATCACTTGAACCCGGGAGGCAGAAGTTGCAGTGGGCCAAGGCTGCGCCACTGCACTCCAGCCTGGGCGACAGAGGGAGACTCAGTCTCAAAAAAAAGAAAAAAAAAAAAAAAAAAAAAGAAAAAAAAAAAAAAGGACCCAGCCTTACAAGCATTTGGGAGCATGAGAGTGAGGCAGGATTCGTTTCCTCCACGTGGCTCCCAGGCATTGAGAAAGGAATCCGGGTTCAGGAACATAAGACTGCTTTCAAAATATATTTTATTTCTTTTTTACATGTATTTTGCAAAATTTCCAAGGTAAACATTAGCTCCACATATAGAAATAAAAGAGTTCTTTAAGAACTAGCATTTGATTCATCACAAGAATGATCAAATTATGACAACGGAAAACAAACTAAAGCTACCAAGCTGAAGTGAAGAGCTGTCTTTACAAAGATCCCTCTCAGTGAGCCTCTGCCCTGCAGCTGACTCAAGCCATCATGTATGCACGTGGGTAAGAAAGGACACTGGCCAGGTGCGGTGGCTCATGCCTGTAATCCCAGCACTTTGGGAGGCCGAGGCAGGTGTATTACCTGAGGTCAGGAGTTCGAGACCAGCCTGGCCGACATGGTAAAACCCTGTCTCTACTAATAATACAAAAACTAGCTGGGCATGGTGGCACATGCCTGTAATCCTAGCTACTAGGGAGGCTGAGGCAAGAGAATCGCTTTAACCCGGGAGGCGGAAGCCGCAGTGAGCCGAGATCGAGCCACCGCACTCCAGCCTGGCGACAGAGCAAGACGTAGAGAGAAACTTCATCTCAAAAAAAAACAACAACAACAACAAAGAAAGGCCACTGGCACAGTACGGCAGCTTTGCAATTTCAAAGACTGTTTTAGTGTTAGCTCCCATGAGTGCATCTTCCACAAGCATTTGGTGCTTTGCACTACTGACTGTGATGGGTTAGTTCTGAAGTGTGATCAAGAAGACATTCTCTTGGAGATACATTTTATATAAATCTAGTAACGTGCTAAATTGTCAAACGGTTAATGGTACTAAACACGCAAAGACATCATCTTGTAAAGCCTCTACATCTCTGCATCATCATCATCATCATCATCATCTTCATCGTCTTTGGCTCTGAAATGCATTTTTCTGAACTCTCGTCTGCTCATTGAAGGACAAGATGAAGACGCAGGTGGGAGGTCCTTAGAGGGGAAGAAAACACGGACTTCAGTCACGAGCAACACACATTTGCATCTGCATCCATAATGCACACCATCCACTCGCTCTGGGGCTGCAGAGCACTCTTCCCCTTTAGGCGCGTGAAAATGACGGAGTCCCAGCACCTTCTCTAGGTAAGAGCTTCCTCCCTAGTGGGCTGATCAAGCGAAGAGAAGGAAAGATGCTGGGTTCAAAACAAAAGAGAAAGCGACAGAAAGCGTGGGACGGACGCTCCCAAAACCACAAACCTGATTCCATGAAAACACACCTGTGGCTGCTGGAGACTGCCCCCCTTCCCCCGCCACAGCCTTTCCCCATGGCAATGGTTCTCAGCTTGGGAGATGAAGGGAGTGCTCCCAAATAGCCAATGGTTTCATTTTCATCTCTGGGGTTAAAATGATTAACTGACGTTGAATTTTGTGTCAAGGCATTATTTACATGCAGTAAGTGGGGAGTGTGTGACTTGAATGTGCCGCTGGCTGCCTGATGCCCTCGGAAGGAGGAAGGTGCCACTCTTACCTGCATGAGTTCGACGTTTCCAAAGAAGCGGCTCACGGGCATTGGCTGATTGCTGTCGTCATCTAGGAAGATGCTGTTGTCCATCTGAAGTGGTGGCTTCTTCATGTCCTCTGCCTCCAGCCCTGAGTCATTCTGCTTCTGCACAGTGGAACTGCTGTTGGATTCTTCTGCCCCTACCCCGGCACTGTGTTTCGGCAGGGACAGGCCACCATCAGTCTTTGCTAAGCGAGAGTCACTCACAGCTCTGCAGCCACCGAGGGGCAGACTTGCAGCCTTCTGCTGCACAGAAACTCCAGCCTGACCTCCTGGAAGCAAGGCCCTGCCTTCAGCAAACTCATCTTCACAAGGGGTCTCTGGTGTCACTTTTGGCAAAGAAGCACTGTCATTCTTAGGGACAAGCTTCTGTAATTCTGACTTCACAAGATGACCTTTGTCACACTTGAACTTCTTGGACATTCGCCTGTCTGTGGCTTTGTGGGATGAGGAAGTCTGTCAAGAAAAAAAATGTAAGGGGAACCAGACATACCTAGCAAATAAAACAGGCCTCGATCCAGAGGCTAGTATTTCTTCTCACATGTGAAATGAAAGACCACAACCTTCACAGATCGCCATTTCACTGTTCTGCCACCAAGAGACAAAATCCAAGTGAGGCTGTGACTGAATCCAGACACACCCCAAGAGCACCCCTCCACTTTGTTTTCCTAGAGGCGTCACAGTTCCTGAGGGGAGTTCTGAAGCATGGATTTATGTATCAGACAATTACAACAAAAGAATCCAGCTTTCATGCATTTCTGCTAGGGCAAAAGCTCCGTGAAGGCAGGGGTCTTTGCTTTATTCACGGAATACTGTCTGGCACACAGTAGGTGCTTAAAAATATTTGCTAAATTGACTTTGACAAATTTTTACCAAACCCCTTATTATGAGGCTGGCATATGGCCAAGTCCCAACCCCTCAGCTGCAGCTCCGGGCTCAGTGGCACAGCTCTGCTTCCCCGGTAAGTTCAGGAGCTCACTCCTCGGAAATGACAGCTACGCTAGGTTGAATGGCATTTGACATGAGCATCCTTTCCCCACCCACTCTGCCTTTCTCTTAAAGCCTCTGGGGGTGAGGCAGCATGGCAATGGGCCAGCAAGACTCGACAGCTGACCTAAGAGCAGAGTGATGAGCCCAAGTGGTCTCAGAGCCTGGGTCTAGACACACACGGGTGGGCAGGTGCTAGGATACAGCCTTGGTCTAGACACACACACACACACACACACACACACACACGCACGCACGCACGCACACACGTGGGCCTGTCGAGTGTGTCTTTCCCTGAAGGCAATTAGAGTGCTGCCACCTTTTCAACTGAAATACTCCCCCTCTGGCAGATAAGCAACATTTGATATTTTTCTAAAGTGACACATCTTGGAATGACAATTTTGTATGAAAATCAACCCTTGAGTCAGGAACTTGGCATTCTCCATGGTAATAGGGCTCACCAGACATGCTGTCTTGGCAGACGTGGAACCAGCGACTTCCTGGGCAGAGGCCAACCCGGTTGCTGAACAATTTCGGGCTTTCAGGCGTGCTGAAGACCGCACTCCACCTGTGAGCTAGACCAGATCAACAGCCAGTCAGGGAGTACTCTCGGAAGGCAGCATGAATGCACAGAGGAGAATTTTCCACCTCCAGATCAATAGCCAGTCAGAGAGTACTCTCGGGAAGGCAGCGTGAATGTGCAGAGGAGAATGTTCCACCTACAGATAACTCGAAGACAGCCCCTCCACTCCCATGGAGTATCATCTTTGTGGAGACACCTGTGGCCTGAATGTGCATATCCGAACAAAACTGTGCCTGGGTTTAAGATACAGGAGCTCCTCTTTCCAGGATCTCGGAGGCTTGGGGCAATCTGGTCCCTTATCTTGCATGTTTCTAGTAACCACCATGTGTACATTAGTGGAACTTAAGTCAACTTCAAAGTGTTTAGAATAAGCAGGACATGCCCTCCCTGAGAAGGATTTGCAACTTTTCTACACTGTCAAATTCTTGATAAAAGGCAACATGAGGAAACCAAAGCTTCTCTCCCTCAAATTAGAGTCCTATTCTATTAGCTGAAAGCAGCAAGCTACTGTCCCACAAATCTTCATACTAACAAACTGCTCTACCCCTCTTTCATTCCGAATGCAAAGCAAACTCTTCTAATAACAAGAAAGAAATTAAAGACACAACACTTTAAATAACTAGGAATAATTTTAGGTTTTCAGAAAAGTTGCAAATAGTAGCCCAAAGAAACGGGTGTGATGGCTCACACTTGTCATCACAGCTACATGGGAGTCTGAGGCAGGATTGTTTGAGGCCAGGAGTTCAAGACCAGCCTGGGCAACACAGCAAGATCCCATCTCTAAAAAAATTTAAAAAAAAAAAAAAAATTAGCCAGGTGTGGTGGTGTGCACCTGTAGTCCCAGCTATATGGGAGGCTGAGGTGAGAGGATCACTTGGTCCCAGGAGTTTGAGGCTGCAGTGAGCTATGACTGCCCCACTGCCCTCCACCTGGGTGACAGAGTAAGACCGTGTCTCTGAAAAAATAATGATAAAAAAATAGTATAGAGGGCTGCTACGTACCCTTCAGTCAGCTTCCACTAATGTTAAACAACTATAGGACATTTGTCAACATTCAGAAGTTAGTGGCCAGGTAGGGCGGCTCACACCTGTAATCCCAGCACTTTGAGAGGCCAAGGTGGGTGGATCATCTGAGGTCAGGAGTGCGAGACTAGCCTGGCCAACATGGCGAAACCCTGTCTCTATGAAAAATACAAAAATCAGTTAGGCATGGTGGCACATGTCTGTAGTCTCAGCTGCTCGGGAGAATCGCTTGAACCCGAGAAGCAGAGGTTGCAGTGATCTGAGATCGCGCTATTACACTCCAGTCTGGGTGACAGAGGGAGACTCCGTCTCAAAAAAAAAAAAAAAAAAAAAAAAAAAAAAAAAAAGAAATTAGCGACAGCACAATACTCTTCACTAAATTATAGACTTATTTGTGTTTTATCAGTTTCTCCATGAACTGTTTTCTCTGTTCCGGAATCCAGTCTAGAATACCATATTGCACTTAGAAAATGATACATTTTAAAACTCATCTTAAAACTCAAAAGAAATGAGTGTGAGTAGTAGAAGCAATAAGTAGGGGCAATGCAGGTTGGAACGGCCAGGAAAGGCCCAAGAGCTACTGCCGACAGGCCCTAGAACTGGAACTCAGAGGGATGGATGAAGAGCGCTCTGCCCAACAGATGAGAGAAATAAAAAAGGAAACAGCAGCAGCAACAACACACAGAAATAAGCTATCTCCGCCATCAGCCCGTAGCCTAAGAGCTCCGGAAACCCTGGGAGGTGGCAGCTCCAAGACGCCATGATACTGTGGCAGTTGGAGCTACGTTTGAAACAGGGAGGTGGAGAGCAGGCAGCAGCCCACAGGCCAGGACACCTGCCAGCTATACACAGAACGAACCAGGTGCCCACAGGCCCGTGAAGCACCTGCTACCATGGCACACCGGGGGCTGAGCCTCCGTCCTCTCATGAGGGCAGGGCTTTGCTGAGAGCCCCGGCAGACGTCATGGTCACGGCTACACCAAGGGAGCTGAGGCAAGAGAAGTAACAGAGCTTGCTAAGAGTTGCCATAAACACCTTTCACCAAAATCCTCCCCCTGGGTCTGAAGCCCATCTCCCTAAACTGCCATCATGAGCCTCACAGGGAAAAGATGCCTCTGTTCCAGAAAGCCACTGCCCATTGTCCCCTCCCTGCTGGGAGCCGTCCTCCAGGTGCTGCGCTGCCCTGCGCCGGAATATGCCGTGTGGGGAGCCAAGCTAAAGGAGCGGCACCCCCATTTCAGATGAGGAGAACTTGGGTAAGGAGCTTATAAGGTTACACAAGTGCTGCCTGGCCTCCAAATCTCTCTTCCATCACCATAGCTCACCCTAGATAGGACCCCTAGAAACTGCCTGAAGTGGGCACTGAACTCTGTTCTGCGCCTGCAGGTCCGTGTTCCGCGCCTGCGCGTCTGTGTGTTCTGCGCCGGCATGTCCGCGTTCTGCGCCTAAGGGTCTCAGCGTTCCGCGCCTGCGGGGGCTCAGCGTTCCGCGCCTGCGCGTCTGTGTGTTCTGCGCCTGCGGGTCCGTGTTCTGCGCCTGCAGTTCTTTTCCTGCAGCAGGTGCATCTCAAAGATTCCATCAGCGTCTTGGCAGCAGGGGTTCTGAACTCTTCACGTGTGACAGGCTCATCAGGTGACCTTTCAGCCCCTTCTGCAGAGAAAAGCCAGAGGATCTGGTGGGCTTGGAAGCGCTGGCTGTTATAGACACCTGAGCCGGCCATTTGCTGTCCACTCCGGACTGACAGGAGTCAAAATATGAGAGCAGCTTAGCTTCCGTTTCATCATGGATTAACCACCTCCAAGGTGTCAACTCTAAAATGTCAAGAATTGGTCACATTCTCACTTGCAGATTCTTGCTCTGCAGTTGGGCAGCTCAGATTGGTCCCACAGTCCAAAAACGAAATACCTTCTTATCACTGACATCCTCCGCATGCTAGTAGGTTGTTTAAAAACTGGAATAGCAGAAGCACAAACATAGTTTCTCCAAAAGGGCTGGCCGAGACAGCTTGAGGACCTACTCAGACAAAGTGATGAGCAGTCCCAAAACTACCATTTAGAGAGTCTTTGGAAATGGTCCTACGGGCACCCAGCAAATGGAGAAACACTTGCTCCAGAATATCTACATTATTTGGTCAGGACATGGAGAGTCTGGGGGCATTTGAGCTCTGTCCTGCTGCAGCCAAGAACACAGGGCCAGCTCCCCCGGCTCCCAGGCAGAGGGCTTTCTTCCCAGGGCAAGCAGGGCAGCAGTGTTTCCCTTTCTGCTGTCATCCCACTTCTTGCTGAGATGAGGTCCTGAGTGAGTAGGATGGAGAAGAGGGGCCTCCCTTCTGCTCAGACCCTATTTGTAGAATGGAGGCTTCATCTTGGCTCCATAAACTTCCCAGTGAACTAAGAAGACTGGGGCCCCATCAACCTTGTCCCTGATAGGAGGTGGTTCCAGACCAGGGGAAGCAAATGTGGAGGATCTCAGGCTGCTGCTAGATCCCCCGCCACCCCCATTCAGAGAGAAGCCTATTGTTGTCCATAGCCGAACAGCCTGGCTCTGAGGTTCTCACTGGGGTGAGGGGCAGGCAACTCAACAGACAGCTCTTAGAGTCTTCCCAAAGGCACTCAATTCACTGCAATGGAATGTGGAGAAGTTCAAGCCTAAGGGAGCTCTCTCAAGAACAGTGGAGGCTGTGACAAAGCGGGTGGGGGGCAGTGCAGAATCAAGCAAGAGGCCAAATTGTAGGCCAACTAGTTTGCTGGAGAGAACCAGAGACTAACACGGCTGGAAGGGGCCCTCTTGGACTTAGAACAAACTAATCAAACACTGACCTTCGAAAGTATCCCTCCAAAGAAGCCACAATTTGATTAGATTAGTTTGTAGAGCAACTTATGCCCAGGCTATTGCCAAGAATAGCACAATTAGCTGGCATTAGCAAAGTTTAACAGCTGAATGTGGTCAGAGAAAGAGGAAAGGGACCCCACTAAAACCACTGTCATCCAGGGTGGCTGTGGGCACACCCAAAGCTGGGCGCCATCCCCCACCAGCAACATCAGAGGCTGAACACTGTGGCAGGGGAAACATACTTCATCAAAATAATCTACCCAGTTGCTAAGCAAATAAGCATATTAACAATGACAAGCCCCAGGGTTGGGGACAGTACCCACAATTGCTAAAATATATTATCTAAAATGTCCAGATTCTGACAAAAAAATATGAAGCAATCAAAGAAACAGAAAACTAGACTCAGACCCTGAAATAAAAGCAGGGCACAGAAGCTGTCTGTGAGAGTGACCAGAAGTTGGACTTATATATATATAAAGGACCAAGGTAGCCATTATAAATAAGATCAAAATCATGAAAAAAGAAGAAAGATAATGTTGTATCAAACAGACTATCAATAAAGAGAAATTACTTAAAAATCAAATAGAAATTCTGGAGTAGAAAAGTCTAAAAACTGAAATAAAAAAATTCACTAGAAGGGCCCAATACTAAATATGAACTGGTAGAATAAGCAAACTTAAGCTAGATGGAGAGATTATGCCCGCTGAGAAACAGAGAGGAAAAGAATGAAGAACAATGAAGAGAGCCTCAGAGAAGTGTTGGACAGCATTAAGCGCACTAACATATATGTAATAAGAACCACAAAGAATGCAGACAGGAAGGAGCAGAAAAAATATTCCAAGAAATAATGGCTGAGAACTCCCCAAATTTACAGAAAAACATCAACCTACATATCCAGGAATCTGAATGAACTGAACATGCAAAGAGATCCACAGATACATCACCGTAAAAATACAAAGATCAAGGGCAAACTCTTGAAAGCCACAAGAAGGAAGCCATTTAGAAGGCAACTTCAATAAATGAAGGACTGACTTCTCAGTTGAAACAATGGAGAATATTCAAACATATTCAAAATGCTCAAAGGTAAAACAAAAAACAAACTAACAGCCAGGTGCAGTGGCTCACACCTGTAATCCCAGCACTTTGGGAGGCCGGGGCAGGTGGATCATGAGGTCAGGAGATCGAGACCATCCTTGCAAACACAGTGAAACACTGTCTCTACTAAAAATACAAAAAATTAGCTGGGCTTGGTGGCACGTGCCTGTAGTCCCAGCTACTTGGGAGGCTGAGGCTGGAGAATCACTTGAACCTGGGAGGTGGAGGTTGCAGTGAGCTGAGACCACACCACTGCACTCCAGCCTGGGTAACAGAGCGACTCCATTTCAAACAAACAAACAAACAAACTGGGACTTGTATCTAGCAAAGCTATACTTCAAAAATGCCTGTAATCCCAGAGCTTTGGGAGGCTGAGGCATGTAGATGACCTGAGGTCAGGAGTTTGAGACGCAGCCTGGCCAACATGATGAAACCCCATCTCTAGTGAAAATACAAAAATTAGCTAGCGTGGTGGTGAGCACCTGTAATCCCAGCTGTTCCAGAGGCTGAGGCAGGAGAATCACTTGAACCCAGGAGGCGGAGATTGCAGTGAGCCGAGATTGTGCCTCTGCACTCCAGCCTGGGCCACAGAGGGAGACTCCAACTCAAACCAAAAAAACTCACTTTACAAGAAATACTAAAGGAAGTCAGGCTGAAAGCAAGTGACCCCAGACAGTAATTCAAACTCCTCTCCCCACACACCCACACCCCACCAGGAAAGGTAATTATGTTCTTACGAAAGATAGTGTAAATGCTTATTTTTCTACCTCCTCTCAACTAATTTTGAAAGCAATTGTTTGCAATATGTATATAACATATACAGACATGTACTATATTTGCCAATAACAAAACAAAGTGGGTGAAAGCAAAGCCCTATGGGTCTAAGGAAATGACCACAGATAGTAATAATTATAACACCCTATTGTTGAGTTTGTAACATCAACAGATGTAATACATATAACAAAATACCAGAAACATAACCATATAGGAGTAAGATTTCTGTATCACTTGGAATTAACCTAGTACAAATCTGACTGCTGATTAAGATATATATGGTAAAACAGAGCAAGCACTGCAAAAAACCCCAAAAAATATAGAAAAAAAAATTCATGGCAGGGCATGGTGGCTCACGCCTCTAATCCAAGCACTTTGGAGGCCAAGGCGGGTGGATCACCTGAGGTCGGCAGTTCAAGACCAGTCTGACCAACATGGTGAAACCCCGTCTTTAAAAAAAAATAAAAATAAAAAAATAAAAAAAAATTCACGAAAATGCTACGTTAGGAAATATTCACTTTAATCCACTTAAAGGCACAGGGGAAGAAAAAGACAGACTTGTGTAAAGAAAAGAAAAGTAAAATGGCACATGTAAACCTAACTACAGAGACTACCAGACTCGATTTTAAAAAAGATCCAAGTATACGCTGCCTATAGGCGACGCAGTTTGGTTCAAAGATAAAAATAGCAGAAAGAGCTGGAATTCACAAGTGCACACTCCATTTGAACAAACCAGGAGAGCCCAGATGCAGCTCGGAGCCTCCCAAGAGGCCCCAGCCCAGGTCCGGGTCCGGGTCCACTGTGAAAGAGTCCTTCACCTTGATCGTTACCCACGCAGTGAGCATTTGCCCCTCGTCAGACACTGGCACCCCTTCAATCAGCACCACCCTCTGGGTGGATCCCTCATCACCCCATTTTTTTGCATATTAAGTAGCTGGGGCCCAGCTGAGGTCACATGCCGTGAGAGCTCCACTGGAGTGGCAGCAGTTGAGGGGCACAAACTCGGCTCTAAGGCATCCAGCACTGCCAGGAGTTGAAACCAGCTCTGAAGGGGGCACCCCACCTTCCTGGGAAAGGGGTCTGAAGCCTCCCTTCAAGGGGGCGTGACCTGGGAGCCTGCTTCTCCCGGGGCGTGTCCCAGAGCCCCGCTTCCCCGGTGCGGGGGTGACCTGGGAGCCCTCTTTTCCCGGGTGAGCTCCACTTGTCCCACAGGCGTGGCCCGGATCCCCTACTCTCCCGGGGGCGTGGCCTCAGCGCTTCACTGCTCCCGGGGCGCAGCCTGGGAGCGCCCCTTCTCCCGGGGGCGTGGCCCGGAGACCCCTTCTCCCGGGGGCGTGACCGGGAGCCTCCCTACTCCCGGGGGCGAGGCCCAAGCGGAGGCCGCTCCTAGACCACAGGCGCCCCGTGACACTGCCACCGCTCTCCAGACTGCGGGTGGCCCGGAGCCCCCCGCCAACGCTGCCCAGCGCAGCTGCTGCCGGGCCCCAGCCCTCACCTTCCGGCTCCTCATGAGTGAGCACCGCCGCCAAGTCCCGCGCCCCCGGCCCAACGCGTCCCGGCTGAACAGCGAAGCGCAGTCCGCAGAGCGCGCCGCGGCGGCCACCGACGTCAACACAGCCAATCACAGCGCAGCGCCTGCGTCATGTGACGCCACAGTTGTCGCTTACGTAAGCGGCGCGCGCAGCTCGCAGGCTTTCGGCCCGTGGTGGGACGCTGCAGCTGTAAGTCGGCCTGTGGCCGGCAGTGTTCGTGAGGCGCGCGTCCCTTGGCAGCCCCGTAGCCGTCATGTTTCCCACGCCCGTGGCAGGCCAGGGAGATTATGTTTAAGGGGACGATTTTCTCGTAGCGTCTACGCTATATTTGAAGGGGGCGGATGGCCATGTTCATGGGCTTCCATTGGTGCACCTGTTGCCGCCATATTTGAGAGGGTCGGGCAACCATATTTTTGAGGGGCGTTTCCCTTGAAGCCTATTTGGCCACCATATTTCAGAGGGGCAGACGGCCATGTTTGTAAGGGGAGCTTCCCTTTTTGCGCCTGTGGCCGCCATGTTTGAGAGGGGTGGAAAACCACGTTCGTGAGGGGCGCTTCCTGTGAAGCGTCTTTGGCCGCCATGTTTGAGAGGGCGGACGGCCATGTTTGTGAGGGACGCCTTGGTGCGCCTGTGGCCGCCATGTTTGAGAGGGGCCGGCGAGGCGTCCACAAGAGGTGCCTCACCTTGCAGCCCCTGGCCACGACCCTGCAGGAGGGCGGGCAGTGATTTCTCCAGTGCCGCAGAGCACTGGTTTCTGAGCGCCGGTGAACGGCGTTGAGCAGCGCGAGGGATCCCCAGGCCTGTGCTGCTCCGGGACGTGTCGCTTTGGGTTGGGGCGGCCCGCCTGGGAAGTGGCTTCTGCTATCCCCCACGTCGCGGGCCTTAGTAGATGCTGTTGGTGGGCCCAGAAGGCCAGGGTCCGGCGTCGGGCTGGGGGCCCGGACCTCACCCCCCGTCACGTGCAAGGCAGAAAATGACCCCACCGCCGCCCCGTTTCTCCGGGGGCCGAGGTCGACCCTTAGCGGCCACGCCTGCTCCAGTGGGCACGCCCCTAGCAGGTCCTGACGGACACACAGCGGCCACGCCTCCTCCCGTGGGCCTGCCCCTAGCAGGTCCTGACGGACACACAGCGGCCACGCCTCCTCCCGTGGGCCTGCCCCTAGCCCACGCCTCCAGCTGACTCGTCTGTATCAAGCCTGGGCTGCTGATGTGTCTTCCTTGGCTGTCCCTTGACATCCTGGCCTTCCCATTAGCTAAGGGAGGTGTTTATAAAGCTGAGGACCACTGTTGTTCTTTTGTTTTGTTTTGTTTTGTGTGTGTGTGTGTGTGTGTGTGTGTTTTTAGATTTGGAGGCTGGCTCTGTCGCCCAGGCTGGAGTGCAGTGGCGACATCTTGGCTCACTACAACCTCCGCCTCTGGGTTCAAGCAGTTCTCTGCCTCAGTCTCCTGAGTAGCTGGGATTACAGGCGCGCGTCACCACGCCTGGCTATTTTTTGTATTTTTAGTAGAGACAGGGTTTCACCATATTTCACCATGTGAAATATGGTCTTGAACTCCTGACCTCGTAATCCACCCGCCTTGGCCTCCCAAAGTGCTGGGATTATAGGCGTGAGCCACCTCGCGGGGGCCTAAAATTCTTAAAGACAGAACAGTTGGCTGGGCGCTGTGGCTCACACCTGTAATCCCAGCACTTTGGGAGGATGAGGTGGGCAGATCATTTGAGGTCAGGAGTTTGAGACCAGCCCGGCCAACATGGTGAAATGCCTTCTCTACTAAAAATTACAAAAATTAGCTGGGCGTGGTGGCATGCGCCTGTAATCCCATCTGGGAAGCTGAGGCAGAGAATTGCTTGAACCCGAGAGGCAGAGGTTGCAGTAAGCTGAGATTATGCCACAGCACTCCAGCATGGGTGATGGAGTGAGACTTGGTCTCAAAGAAAAAAGAAAAGAAAAGGGTGTGGGGGCCGGTCCAGGTGGCTCACACCTGTAATCCTAGCACTTTGGAAGGGCGAGGCAGGTGGATCACGAGGTCAGGAGTTCAAGACCAGCCTGACCAACATAGTGAAACCCCGTCTCTACTAAAAATACAAAAATTAGCTGGGCATGGTGGTTTGTTCCTGTAATCCCACTTACTCAGGAGGCTGGCTAGGAGAATCACTTGAACCTGGGAGGCAGAGGTTGCAGTGACCTGAGATCGTGTCACTGCACTCCAGTCTGGGTGACAAAAAAAAGAAAAAGCAAGGGGTGCAGGGTGGAAACCACGTCAGGGGCTGAGGACACCTGGCCCCTCCACTGTTCCTGCAGGTGATTGCCCAGTCCGGGGCCGGTCCCAGGTGCTGGGGCACAGGGTGCATGCAGCAGCCCATACAGTGCTTTGCAAATAAGTGAGAGTCGTATTTCCTTTTAAAATCATTATTATTTTTTTTGCAAGTGAGAACGTTTAAATCAGACAGTTTTGTCAGAAGCATTGGGTTTTCCACTTAAACTACAAAGGTTGAGAAGGGAGCTTCGTTGCATTGTGGCTTCATGGACTGCTTGGGGTCCCTCTGTGCACTGTTCCAAAGCAGGGTGTGATTCATAAGCTCTTTCAAAAGCATCAACGTGCCTGCTCTTACAGAATGACTCTCTCAAAGCCGAGACATGCAGCTGATGCCTCCTTTTAGTGCCTGAGAAGTGAGAGTATTTAAGGATCCTGCCAGCTTGAGCCTGTGCAGCCTCCACTCTCTTTAGAAGTGTGACGCTTGGTAATTAGGTGGAGCCCTGAAATTAGACTGCACGTGGGGTTTTGCTTTTGGCAGTGAGTGAAGTTGCTTGCGGTCCTGGTGTGTGCACACTCACACAGGCTCCTACCTGGCTGTAGCACCCTCTCTCTTCCCAGCCCCGCACTTCACCCGTGTTATTTCCCGTGTTGTACAGAAGGGGAGGAGACAAATGTGTAACTGGCAGGAAATCCATTTGAAATGGAAACTTAATGTAATGGCTGCCGGCTGTTCAGAAAGAAGGGAGAGTGAGCGTTACTTTGTTAAACACCTAGCCCGTCCCATTTTCTCAGAGATTGGTTTCATAATAAGCTTGGTTCCATGGTTTCATTTCGGAGTCCTGGGGAACTCAAAGTTCTCATCCACTGGGGCTTGGCTGGTGTCTGCCTGTCTGGTTTGTGGTTGGTGCCAGTGGACGTAAACACCTCACTGCCTGGCCTTGCTCTGGGCTTTGAGCCATCTGGACTTTAACATCGAAAAGAGCTCTCGCCTTCACCACTGTGCTCTGTCCCCTCCCCCAGATCTGGGATGGGGATGGTTTCCAGCTTCCCAGCTGCTCAGGCCTGACCCCCAGGCTGTTCTTGACCGTCTCTCTAGCTCTGCCCACATCCTGTCAGATGCCGGTTGCTGTCATTTCTAGACTTTGAAGCCCCATGGCTGATGTCTCCTTTTCTTCTGGCCTGGGTGGCTCATGGCTGTTGGGGTGATCCCCTGCTTCTAGGATCCGGAGCCACAGTCTTAAAGTGGCCTGTAAGTCCCCGGCACGGTGCCTGGCACACTGTGGGTGCCTAGCAGGTGTTTGCTGAAGGAATGTGTGGAAGGTCTCCTGAGCTCACTCTCTGCTGCTGCTCCCTGCTCCAGACACATGGAGTCCCAGCACCTGCTCCCCGCCCATCTGCTGTCCACACTGCCCCCCTCAGCCCCCTGACCACTGCAAAGCCTCTCCCCCACTTCCCTCTGCCTGAAAGCCTTCTCTCCCCAGCCTCCCAAACCACATTTTGCTCAGCGAATTCATTCCTCAAACCTCAGCTCAGCTCAAATCTCCTGTGCTCAGGGGGCCCTTCCCAGATACCCCCCGACTTTAAATCTGGTTACTGCTTTTGTAGTATTCTGCACTTTTCCACTGGGACGCTGTCGTGGGCCTGGCTCATTTCTTCCCCCTGCCCGATTCCAGAGCATGGCATAGCCACTAATTCAGTCAACATATCAAGCTCCACAGTGTGCTGGGGACTGGGCCAGGTGCGAGGCCACGTGGTGTGGAGCCCAGGGAGGAATCATCACACAGAATTGTGCCTTTGCAATGTGATGAGAGCCATGGGGGAGAGGCCACGTGGGCAGCAGCACAGGGCTGGGGGTGTTGGGCGAGGATCCTGGGAGGAAGTGGCTGGGGTCCCCTCTCCCTCCCTCATCCTCCAGGACCCAGGCCCACTAGAGGGAAACAGGCAGGGCCTCCTAGTCAGTGCTGGATGTGAGTGGAACCCGGTTTGCACCGGCCACCCCTCCTGCTGGGGAGCCATTCTTGAATCCTCTCTCGCCCCACCCCAAGCCACCATGTTGAATTGCAGGAGACCCTGGAGGAGCACAAAACCAGGCTTGGCCAAATCCACCTCCGCGCCATTAGCTGTGCCTGCTCGGCCAGGTCAGAGCAGTGAGGTTCATCAAGGTGGCAGGCCTGTGAGGTCTACTCAGGCCTGTACGTGGCTGGCCTCCCACGTGAACTGAAAGCCCCTGGAAGGCAGGGCTCGTGTTTTGGTCACGGAGACTGGGATGTGTTGGTAATACCCGAGGGGTATTCACTGGCGGCTGGCTGACCAGGGCTGAGACACACACAGAGAACTTGAGCACCATCGGCTGGAGGAAACTTTCCGTACCAAAGATTTACTGCCTAGACACTGCTGTGCCCCAGCTCAATATTTGCCTTTCACAAACACTTAGGGCTGGTGAGAAAGTTGATGAGAATTTTCAGCTGATTAGCAGTTGGTAGACTCATTGACTGAGGCCACCCTGACCAGAGCACATCTCATCCCTGCCGACAGACGGTGGCCTGTGTGATGAGAGGTCGTCTCTTGCATGCTGGCCCTTTATATTTAAAAGAAAGAGGTAATGGGTAGAGAGAGCTAGAGGGAGGGAGGGAGAAGGCAAGGGGGAAAAAAGCCTGCAGCATGCTTTTAAAATGTTCTCTTTGAATTGACCTAAACAAATGTTTTCTTAGTAGCCTACGCTCTCGTAATCTCTCTGTCCACCCGACTTAGCTGGGGAAAAGTAAGCCCATGGTGGACAGCTGTCTGCTGTTGGAAAGGTTCACAGTTCTTGCCCTGGGCCCACCCCATGCACGTG